GTTATATACTAAAATATTTTACTTTTATTATTTATTAATACTGTATTGCTTTATTAGTTATATCACCTCTGGTTGTCTTGTAGTGGTATTCCTAGTGGCCATTTTGTTTTAATCACTCTGATTACTTGGAATATCTAGTATAATTTTCCCTTTATGCCACTGATTGCTTGAGTAGTATTTCATGTACCATTTTCGTCTTTGTTATTCTGATTGCTCGTGTAGTGTGTATAGTACCATTTTCTAGTTTTGTTACTCTTTTTGCTTGAATTGTTTGTCTGTTTATGTCTTCACAAAGAGACATACTGTTTTTCTATTGTTTCTTCTTCAAAACAATTTTCACTCGACTGCTATTTGTTCATTTCTTGGCAGATTGACTTTAAATTTGGTCCAATACACCCAGACATATCCATTTTTTTTATTTAGGCCTTTTGAAGGTTTTTATGGGATAAAAGGTCAAACAACCCTGAAAATGTATATTTTGGGCTCCTGTGCAGTCATATTTACAGTAATCAAGATGAAAATTACACACACACATAAATTTTCATGAGCTCAACACATTAGTATACAAAAAATGTTGGATTTAGCCCATTTTGAATCTTTTTAGGGAGTCAGAGCTCATGTAAAAGTATAATTTTGGGGGTTTTGGTAATTACTCAACCATATTTTGACTAATTTACATGGTACAAAGATACTTTTCTACAAGTCCCACATATTGACAAACAAAAATGGTGAACTTGCCCATTATTAGTGACTATAGGAGGGTCCAAATGTCACAAAAGAAACCATAATTTTAGAACTTTTTTGACAATTACTCTGCCATATTTTGGCCAATTTACACGGGGTTTGATACAATGATACTTTTATGCAGGTCCCATACATATATATATATATATATATACAAAAATGTGGGATATGCCCATTTTTGATATTTTTTGTAGGAGGGGGGGGGGGTGAAAAGGTTAAATAAACTCATAATTTTAGGGGCTTTGGTCAGTTACTTACCCTTATTTTTACCAATTTACATGGAATTTGGTATAAAGATGCTCTTTGCAGGTCACAAACAGAGAAAGAGACAATTTTTCAGTGAAGAAAGTACAATTTAGGTTTTTGTCAACTATTCATGTGCATATCAACCATCTAACATGGGATTTGATACAAAGATACCTTCTTGCAGGACCCAAGCAAATATATATAGCCAGTTTTCGCTTTTACTGGTGTTAAAATTGGGATTATTGTGTGGCAGAGACATGTTGCATTCACCTATGAATGTTGGCCTCCTTAACATGATTTTTTTTTGTTTCCCTGATTGGTTGATTAATATATTTAGTAGTTTAATATCTTTTTTGTTATTCTGATTGGTTGTGAATAGAACCACATAAGTTGATTTATCGATCATTCAAGAGACTTTGTTCACATTATAGTGGGATACTTTATGAATCACGGGTCATAAACTTACGATACTTATTACATGGTTGTTCTATAAATATATTTAACTAATTATGTGCTTTTCAGTCCCATATAGAATAAGGATAATGAGCTTAGACTGTGTAGTATACTAAACTTATTTTACCGACAAATGTGTTGAAATAATATGAAAAAAGTATAGTCATGATATATATGATATATAGTTCAGTGTAAGTATGTTTTAGAAATTGAATGTTTTTATGCAAAACAATCACATAAGTCAAGCAAGAATTAGGTTATGGTTATTCTAGAGCTGGGTAATTAACTCTATTAATTGATATAATAGATTACATATGAGCAACAGTTACATGGACTAGTATAATGTAAATTAATCAAAATTACAACTAGTCAACTAATGTTACAAAAATAATTAACTAGTGTTTCCAATTAATACTGTTTTCGGTTATCCCAACTATCCAGTAATCAAGGTTTTGATTAATACCATGTAAATAATCTACTAATTGAAATTAGTGTTTCTGATAATTACTCATTTTGATTATTACCTTTATCTATGCTTTACCCACTACAGGTATTGAAACCCGATTTTTTAACATTAAAAGTTTTTATTTTAACCATCTGATGTAGGAATAATGAATTGTTGTTGTTTTTTCAGCCATCTCATGAGAATAATCAAAGAGTTGAAAATAACCAATTAAAGATCTTGATGATTAATTAATTAACAGATTCCGCTAATCATTTAGTTCTAGTTGATACTCAGTTTCTTCAAGATCTATTGATTAGCAGATTCCACTAAGTTCCTGGTTTTAATTGATGCTCAGTTTCTCTAAGAACTATTCACTCACAGATTCCACTAATTCCCCATTTCTAGTTGATTCTTATTTTCTCCAAGATCTGATAAAAAGTGTGAAATTTGTATCAGTAGTGGAAAGGAAAAATATTAGGTAATTCACCAAATAAAACCTCATTTAATGTATTCAGAACACATAGTCTTCATGTTCATATCTCACATATACCTAATTTATTTCTTTAATTAATATTTTGTTATATTTATAATTGTTTTGTTTATCAACAGATTTTTCTGGGAGGAAGTATTTGCAAAAATGAAAAAGTTTTTGTAACAGATGACCAAGAACTAAAAGTATGTATCGTAATTCATACATTCTTATATTCTGTTCTTAAAGTAAATACTTGTGTTTGTGGTTTTAATGTTAGTGTTGGAGTAACTACACCAATTAAATGGTTGTGGCATCATCTATATATTTACTTTGTGTTTATATGTGATACAAATTTAAAATATCACAGTAATATTAGTTATTTTTTAAAAATTTTGTTTAAATAATCAAACAATATCATAAACAGATTTCAAAGAGATATTTAGCTCAATATCATTTACTTATTTTGTACTCATACGTATTGGACTGTTGACATTAGTTTTGTATTTAAAAATTGGTGATGCATGAGACAAATAGTGCAGGTATGTGGCCTGCATCCATTTTAAATGTCAAAACAGAGCTTGAAGCAAATGTTGTAATAACCGTAGTGTACCCATCAAGTGATGCCCAAAATTGAATTGGCATAAAAGATACATTCAGTAAGTACCATGACTTTAGCATTACAGAAGAATTAGATAGAGTTTTCTAACTGAATCATCAGTGATGGAATAGAATTAGAAATTTAGTTTTTGTCATCTTCTATTTGAACTACTTTTATCACTTGCTTAAAAAATAGAAAGTATCTTTAAAACGTTGTATTTTGGTATGATGCAGTGTTTCTGTAGAAAAGATTTGAAATCCAAACAGTATTTTTCGAACTGGTATATTTAAATGTTTTACACTCACAAAAATTTATTCAAACAGTATTTTTGTTTCTCAAAAATAAAAAAATACTTTAAATGTAACGTGCACCAGTAAACATAAAATTAAATGTCTTCATGAGTATTAAATCTCATTAAAAGACATGAGTTGAATAATTTTAATTGATTAAAAAACAAATAAGAAATGGGAAACACACATTTTTTTCTTACCATAATACCAAGATTCCAAATTTATAACTTATATCTGGTAAAGTGGTAGCAAGTATATACCAGAACAGTTGTAAGTATTAGTATTGTGAAAAGTTTGTATGTGCCCTAAAATGAAAGGTGAAATAAACTTCTGTAGCACAGCATTCTATAAAATTAATAAAACTCTTTATCATGACGTAATAAATGTACATCTCATGTGTATGCTGCATTGCTTCCAATATTACTCCTTTAAAGTAATATTTGATCAAATCATCAACAAATATATCTCAAAATGGGATCCTCTTTCAATATGTCTCACATAAGGCTGTGAAACTTTTTTTTAAGTGACCATTTGTAAATTTCTTAATTAATTTTATGAAAAATAAAGCACTGACAGTACTTACATTACTTATGCTTTTTCATGTGTTTTGGTTTAGTTTTTTAACCTGTTCTAGAAAGCAGTTTACCTAAATAAACAATAGTTTTTTTTTCATGTTTGGCATTTTCATTCTCTATTAAAGGAACAACCTTTACGACCTAGAATAAAAGGAAAACCAGTGAGAGGAGGACCACAAATGCTGCAGCTAAGTTTAGATGGGAAGAGACTTTATGTCACC